AGGATTCAGCAGGGTTGTGTCGTCATTTTAGTGCAAATAAAAATAAAAAAAAAATCTGCTACTTGCTTGATGTACAGCTATCCATCAGAGGTACGGATAACTTCACAACTCCTTGCTGCGATAACGTTTACGGCGATGTCTGCTAAAATTGGGCACCACAGTTTCCTAACATGAAAGTCTGTTTCTTTTATTAAGTTGTAGTGTGCAAATGATATAATGATCCACAGGTGCCACAGACAATAACTATACAGCAGGCGCAAGTGCAATATGTTTTCTTTCAAATCTGAGAAGATTGAAATATGAAGTACTAAAAATATACAGGAACCACATGCATTTCAGAACATATTTGTAGAGGTCGAAACTGCAGTTGGCATTTATTAGATAATAAGACAGAGAAGAAAAATATTTTGTTGTTGTGAAGGACAAAAATGACAGTCCTTGCAAATTGCTAATTGTGACCATTCAGTCTAGCATTTATGGTGGAAAACATGGATTACTCTGTGCTTGATCACCAGGATTCACAGTAGCAATGTGCTATTAAAATAATTTTTAGGTGGAAGTAATTAAACCAGGACAATTTAATCTTTTGTTTTTCTCTTTTTCTTTTTGCCTTCACTTTCTCTCTCCCTTCTCTCCATCCTCCTTTCCCTCACCCTGAGCTGCTATTCCCACTGCAACTCTCTTCTACACTGGATAGGAAAGGTGATGCAAAGGTGCTAGAACGGCCAAAGCGTCATTCTCCATCCAGAGTATAAAAAATAGGAAGGAACAAATGATAAAAAGCCGAGGAATCTGAGGTGTACAGGGGCAAGAGGAAGTGTAGGAAAATGTGATAGAAGATGGACATGAAGTCAAGAGCCAAAGACACCTTTAAAATGTGTAGGCTAAAAAGATAGACGCAGTAAATGGGATGAAATTCACTTATTTTACCGTCTTTCTCTGTATAACCCCCTGATAAGATCCAACTTCCTTCTATAGTGCTGAGGTAAGCTACAAACATATTCTCAGCTCTACCACTGAGCCACACTGCAGGACCGCAATCCTCTGTATTCTACTATAACACAAATATTTTAATGAATAAACTGGCAGCTGAAACCCCAGAAACCAGAATCTGTGACCTTCATCTTATTTAGAACATTTGTAAGAAAGGCCTACAGCATGTAATTAAAAACAGAAAAATAAACAAAACCTGGATGACTCATGCCCTTATTTGTGCAGTACACTTTATTTTCCAATGAAATTCCCAACGTGGTAACAACAAAAATGTATAGCATTGCTCATTTTAAACCAATTCCAAATTCTTTTCTTTTCTACTCAAATAGCCTTAATAATTTGGACAAAGCTTGTTTTCTTCTTCTCTTAAACAATGTTTCAACATAACAATAATGCTGGCATGATGACTAACTGAAATAAGTAAGGGATATTCTCCTCCAGCAGCTCTGCAGATGGTAACCTAGCGATTCCACACACACTATGCAAAACAGAGGCACTGATATGCGTAAAAGGGCGGGACTGGTGTAATTTCTCTGTGTTTTAGGATGTGCCACTGTTCAGGGACATAGATCAGTAAGTGTAATGGCAAATGCATTATAAACAATTACCAAATTCAGACAAAACAAATAATGCTATTACATTCATTCCAAGAGGACACTCCTTCACTTAGAACTGAATTCAGCAGCTAGATGCAAACAAGTATAGAAATAGAAAACCAAGGGATTTTTAAAGATTTAGGAGCTCAGTTTTGTCCAAAAGAGGATTTAAGAGGTCCAGGGTTACTCAATTGTGGAGGAAACCCAAAATTAATTTAATAATCAAAGGCTTGGGAAGCAGAAGGACACAAGCATTACCACTGCAGAGCAACAAGGTTAAAAGGAGCCATGTTTAGCATCTGCTACTAGCCATCAGTCCGTAATGAGATGTTGTTGTATATAGTGCAGGAAACAGAACAGATGATCAGAGACATGGGGCAAATTTGGCTGCACTCTGTTGGTTATAATGCTAAGGAATGGCTTAGGGTATGGGATTATAGTTTGAGTTTTTTCTTGAAAACAGCAATGAATTACTGCCTTGTTTTTTAGGCTCCTGTTAATATGTACTTTCAGATATGAAGTACAGTTACAGTCGTGACCATTATAGTAAATAATCTACAAACAAAATCTGAGAAGTAAACATGATGAGCCTTTTATACATGATCTTTTATAGATTCTGTACTGGATGACTATTCTCACCTCACTCACATGCCCAGCTCTCTCCATTCATCCTCACACACAAGCACATACATATGTTGGGTTTGCATGCTTTTTGAGGACATTACATTGACTTATATTCATTTCTAACCCTAACCTTAAGCATAATCCTTGATTAGCCTTAAATATAAAATCTATCTATCTGTATATAGATATATATATATATTAACTCGAGGCCATGTTGTTGATCTAATATCTAGTATGGGGACCAGATTTTTGTCCCCATAAAGGAAACACATCTGAATGTATACAGATTTTTGTCCTCACAATGTAATAAATTCCCATCCACACATGCACACATACAAACACACACACACACACACACACAGCCCCCTGCCACCATCCTCCATGCCACACGCACCCAAGGGGAGGACACATCCCTCATAGCACCCAGGAAATTAACTTGACATTTGATGCAGACAGAAAAAATATATTTCAGTGGGGGTAGAAAAAAACACAAAGTGTACAAAAGCAGAGATAGCATAAACCCATCTCTGGTACACTTCCCCACCCCTCTCCCCCATAAGCTCAGGGACGCATTCGAGGGGATTTCAGTGATCTGCAATGCAGACACCACTGGGTGCCCACGGAAAAAATGAGCTTCATCTTTTGCCTGTCTTTCTCCTTGTATGTCGTATGTCCCTCTTTGTTTCCATCTTTTATGATGCTGGCCTCCATTTTCAAATGCACCCCCCTCGCTCTACTTCCTCCTCGTGTTTGTGACTACCTGGTCAGGAAAATCATTTGTATCACTGAGCCCTGTATTTGCAATGTTGCTCTAAAGCTTTGATGAACTGGAACAGAGTGTCTCCTTAACAATTAATCTGGACAAATCTTCTGAGAGTGGCTGTGTGTACAAATTGACCAATGTGTTTGTTTTATTATTTACATAAAGTGGCATAATTTTGCAACTGGTCAGGCATTGGTTTTCAAAGTCATCATTTTGACGAGGGGCCCAGTCACCACGACCCAGACAGACAATTAATACATGCTTCTGCAGCCATGAGCCACACAACACGCAGCACGACAAGCCTTAGTCCCTCTCTGTATCCCTAGCATTAGACATGCAGGAATGCTAACATCATTATGCACAATAGTGACTGTCTGCCTGGGCCCTCCCCCTGCTAACATATTGTGTCTGTGCTTAGTCTGCTTGTGTGTCTGAAAAGGGTGGTGCTATTTAAATAGGATTTAAGTTATGCAAAAAGTGACATGCATGTTTTTCTCATATTCGTTTAAAATAACATTCCTCACCTGTGTTATAAAAAAATGTGATAATTCTGTAGAAATGTTTTCCACGATTGGATTCTAATAACACAGTGTATCTTTTTAATATATACCTCATCTAGACAGTGATAAACAATATCATTTGGACAAGGACAAGTTAAGTTTCTTCTGTAATATATAAATTTGCTTTATAATATGCAGTGTGAGTAGACAATAGAATTACTATTATTTCTTATAGCTGGTTGATGTGGGTTGCAAAGAAACACACAAATGAAAGTAGGTGGATTCAAAGACACCTGCAGCCAGTGTGTGTGGTTGACTGTCGGGCTGCTGCATATTCGCTGGTGATGCGATCACAATATTCACACTCACTGTTCTGCCTGTGCCTAATGTACTAACTCTGATACACACACCACCGGATATGAAAGCAGCTTTCCATTTAGGCTACGTTTAGCATTTTGCTAACATAATGCACATCTTTGAGAAGTCTCCTCCCATCACATTGCTTTTTCTATAAATGTGCCTTATTCGGCATTGAACAGCGTTTACTATGACAGAGCTAATAGTGAATGACCTATATCTAATTACTCTACCATCATGTTGTATTTTATAAAATTTGGGGCCACAATGGGCAGTATATGTGATATCCTTTTAAAACTAAATCTGAGACACTCACTGAAATGTATTGAATGCTCAAATAATGCATTTAAAATTTTCAGTTTTTATTCCTTTTCATGTATGAAGAAAGGTTGACAGTAAAATTGTGTGCATTTTATTGATAAATATTTCCCACATGCTGCCTTCCTTTGTTCTCTGCTCTTGTCTCAGTGCAGATGACACACACAAATGCGTTAGCGCTCTTTAATCATGTAGACACATGGAGATGACTTCATTAATGGCTAGAAGCTAGCTCTGCTCAAACACAAGGGCTGGGAGCAACATTATAAATGCTTACTCCTGCTGTCAGACTGGTGAGCAGCTGTACTGCAAAATGAAGCCTGATAGAGTATTATGAGTTTAGCATCTGCAATGAGGTGATGCTGGGTAAACATGGTGTACAGTTAAAAATGTCACTGCTACTGCTTCATTTGCTATCAATGATCCCGAGACCGTATGCTTGCTGTGATTAAGCGTTTAAAAACTGTACAGTCTACAATACTTTTGGCCAGTAAAAATATATACATTTCTTATGTGGCAATATAGCAGACAGCTGTGTGTGCAATGGACTAATACTTATCTCCTTTGAGCATGCAGGAATAACCAAACTTTCCTGACCTATGTTTTAAATTTAGTCTACGTTATTGTAGCCAAAAGATCACGACCATTGTATAAAGAAATGTAAAGCCACACTTTATAGGCTGATCTTGTATTCATGCTGTCCATCTATTAAACAGTTGTTTATTAAACAGCTCGGCTTTGTATGTGATGATTCTATGGCACTTGATGTTAGTAATAATACAAGTTGTGGAAATGGCTTTAAAATTACCTTCACTGGGACAAAAAGAAGATACGCTAGAGCGCACTCACCTTACACCAGACCAGTAAAGACCAACTTCATGTTGACTTCCCTGTTTGTCCTTGTAGCTACAGCATCACTCTTTCAAGCTGCAACAAAATACAATGGATAGCATTACATTAAATCACACTTACCAGTACATGTTACCTTGGTTTTTAAATTCATCTTAATAATAATTCTATAGTTAGTTCTATGATTCTAAGACTTTTTAGCAAAATACTGAAAATTGCATCCATCTGTTGTTTCTGTGTTGAATGTGTAAAGCTAAATTTGTGCTTTATTCTTCTCTTTAATAACTAATATTCTTCAGATGCTAAATTAATGTCCGCTATTGCTATGTGAGTAGCTATGTTCTTGAACTTGGTCACTTGTAACCCTCAGCTTAGCTCAGCAAGGTCAGGTCAAAGGTCAGAGGCCAAGTCCATTTAAGGTCATTATAGAATCATTTGGGACTTTGACCTCTTTAGAACTCCATGGCAAGCACATTCAAGTTTGAATTTCTGTAATTATTTTCTCCTTTCCAACCAAAAATCATTGCTATAATGTGGTTAAAAAAAACATGTAAAAACAGCCAATTAGAACAAAATACACTACACAGCAAAATATTACATTTTCTTTTTTCAGTTTTTATTTCAGTTAAATACAAGACATCACCGTGTACATGAAGCAATCAAAAACATAGTCAATATATGATTAAAACAAATGCAGTAACTTTAATGGTATACTCAAACCCACCATCGCATTGTAGTGTGTGTCTTGTGGCAGTGTGACAAACCCATGTGTGTGGCTTCTCCTAACCCTACAGCAGGGTTTAAGCTAACTATGTAGCATTCCCCTCTGTTCAGTTTCCTTCACGGTTTGCATGGCTTTTCTCATCCCATCTCTCCTCAGCCCCTCTACCCCATCTCACCCCCCTTCCCTCAACCCCACACACACTTTGCATGTGGTGTGGGGGGATACAGCAATGCCAAGGATAAAGCCCTCTAGTCTAATGCAACGGAGTACGATACAGAGAAGGCAAATTACGGCCATGCATAGATATTATATTTTAATATCAAGCAACAGCGCAACAGAAGGAGAAACATGTGCCAGGCACTGATTTGAGAAATGCCCTACACTGCTATTAAAAGTACCTACCTATGGATCAAAAAGATGTGGTCAAAGAACAAAAGCATTTTCTTCATAATAGGTGTACCCTCAGCCTCGGTGGAGTTTGCTCAGTGCCTTAACCACTATATCTCCCCCATGCTGCCTGCCTGCCATCCCCTCCTAACAATCCATTAGAATACACCAGACTCCAAAACATGCAGCCGTTTAATTATTCTCACTTCCGCAGCAAACTGGGGCGTACCACTGTAAGCAAATAGGGAGGAGGGACAACAGAGATCATATGCATCTTATGTATGCAAAAAGCAATACGGCGAGCACTACCCATAGATGCGCAGCACAAATTTTCCTTCACATAAATTGTTCTGTTATGGAGACACAATGGATTCTATAAGAAAAACATCTGACACTCACACTGACAATTTAATCCCATTTTCTAATAGTAAAATATCTCAGGTGACGTCCCCCTCTATACGCCGGGTAAAACGCTGTTATTCTGTAAATGTATATTGTGTGAATGTGAGGTTATGTTGTGCGTAATAATTCCTTTTGAATAATTTTGTGCACATCCTACTTTATGCTGTGCCGCAGGAACACTTGAGGATGAAAGAAAATGCTAATGTCCTCTGAATCTAGCTGAACAATGTGTGTGGATGTACTGCACACTGTGTCACTGTGTCTATCTGTTTGTGTGTGCCACCTTACTACATAAGTTATGGTAATTAACAGATAAGAGAAACCAATGGGATTTTGCTTTTGTTACAATAAGAAAAATATAAGTTTAATGTGCATTATAAATAGTTTATTTGGTTCATTTTGACTGTTTGTAGTTTGAACCAACCTGCATGTACATACGCTTTTAAATTACATTGGTTATACATTTGTGGCTCACCTATATAACTTTAATCATATGAATTCAAATTTCACAGAATAACATTTGCGTGTCCAGTAAATACATGAGAATATACTTATATCAAATCACATTGTGACAAAAGGTAAATCAAAAATAGTTAACGGCATGCAATTACTGGTGTGAGTATTGGCTGCTGAACGACGCCTGTTCTCTGGCGACTGTAATCGAGGAAATTAATACATGCAAATGAAATTCTCAGCATGCAAAGGAGCCGCTGACAGTCAGTGAATGAATGGCTTTCAGGGCTGGGCTTTCCTGTCTGTGTACGGCACCAACATTTGTATGCAATAATATGAACGCGTGCATGTGTCTATGCCAGCGGACATTTTAGGTCTACCCTCCTCACACTCTGACTACTGCCAAACGCCTTAAGATGGTGGCACCTTGAGGCAGCGAGACACACTCCTCCCTTTCCCCCTTCTCCCACTTCAGGGCCCAACACAGGACAGGCCCACCTTCCTAACCCCGAGCCCCCCTAATAAATATTTAATTCACCCTTCTCTAATAAGGATATTAGATGAGTACACCCCAGCCAGGCGTATATGCATGAGTCCTTTCTCATCAAATTTACATAAAAGGGCCAGATGCTAATGCAAGTGTAGCAACCACTGCTATATGCTATATGTGCTGTTGCTGCTTCTCTGCTCCAGGAGCCCATATAATTTAATTGCTGACCAGCATATATTTTTCAAATGATTCGCTATATTCAAAATGCTCTTAGGCCTCAACACACACTAGGTTTTACAACATGCAGGGAACATCTTTTAGTAAGTCACCACACATCTCTTGTACTTACAAAGATTCGAGTATGTCTCCCATTACAATTAACACCACACTTTCAAGTATTAAATAAAGGCCAGTTATAGTCAGAAATACTTTCAGATGACAACGGCACTAAGACAGGCCAAGTGGCTGTTGGTTCGAATTGAATTACAGTCTGTTTCTGTTTGATACTGCTGACAATTAATAGAATATCAACAGTGCAATGACACAAAATATATTATTTACACAATTTCATCTCCAAGTGAAATTCTGAGTATTTCAAATATAATTCTACTCATTTATTTATAGTTCCTGGTATTTGCATAATCGTAGTCAGCGGAGCACTCATATCTCGCATAGCCCTTAAACATGTCGTGCAAAAATGCATTTATGCACCTTGTGATTATGCTCCGCGGCTGCTCAACAGTATCTAATCCTGCAGGCACATTTGAATGTATATATTAGGTCGGCCGTTAGCATTTCCAAATGTGCCTTTACTGTAACGTATTACATCTCACCAACACTGTATAGTAACAAATATAATGTGAGCATTATTAGTACATTATAAATTAACAAATAAATTATATATATATATATATATATATATATATATATATAATATATATATATATATATATATATATATATATATATATATATATATATATATATATAATACGAATAATAATAATATAAATACATTTGTTCTTTTGCAAACCTTGCTAAATAGCATTGCTTATAAATTTTTAGTCAGTGTGTTACATGTTTAATGTACGTACTCTTTCAATTTCATTATACAAATGATTTGATCATATGGTGCCATTTAACTGTGTGTGAGTTATTGCTTTTGAAGTTATAATTGATGCTATGTTTTCAGATGAATATTTTTCAATAAGTAACATCAAGGATTTAAGAGAGAAAAAACCTTACTGTACTACAGTGCAAATGGGCCCAGCAAGGTGATGTGCATATCCCCTGCAATGGGGGAGGGCCCTACAGCATGGCAGAGCACAGCATGCCCGCTGCTCTCCACAAGATGCTCAAGTGGCCATGCATGATGTCATTAAAAAGGGCCGAACCATGACATTCCTTTGTGGATTATTACAAAGTTATGGCTTGTTGCACTGTTATAAAGGGAGGATGTCAAAGACCTGTATTGGTCATGCTCTTGAATAAGGATTACACTCTCATACACTGTACAGTGGTTGGATTTCTTGCATAATTGCTTGTTATCAACAAATGGGAATACATGTAATTTATTTTTCCAAAAACAAAACAGAAACTGAATTTTTGAACAAACATCAATTACTGTGAGATAACTGACATACTAGGTCAATAAATATACACTAATATAAAACCAGGAACTTGGTTTGCAAAGACTGATGCTGCCATGCGCAGTGATCTCACCTACGGTTGCCGTGGTGACACCAACCCAGAAGGAACAGCTTCACTGTCAGTGCGCATGCGTTGTGTATGTGACAGAGGCTAGAGGCAGGAGGGCCCGCAGGAACACACACTCAACCTAGCTTTTTTAAATACTACAACAACTATACACTTTCAGTTGAGACAATAAATTAATTAGAGCTTTGTTGATAACATACATAGCCAAGAGGCTTTTAAAGTAAACTGCAAATATCAATGAAAACCAGACTCCATATGCATTCACCAGCATACATCATGCAAAAGACAACATTACAATATGGACCCATAAATGCACTGCTCCTGCACCACAAGGATCCATACCCTGCTGCTAACTCTTGTACTTTGAAGGTGTACAAAATAAACTGGCAGCTGCTGATGTTGATTTCTTTCAGTGATGAGGAGCTCACACAGACTATAGGGGTCATCTGCTCGTCAAAGGATGATGGTGGCCTAGGCTTACTCCACAGCCATGAATGCACTGAATTCATTAGCCCTGCTGCACAGATGGTGTCTGGCTGCCTGTCTCAAGTTCAAGTTCATGTCCAGGAGACACATAACAAACACAAGTGAAACAGGCGTTGTAGGCGCCCCCCCCCTGGTCCCCCACCATTTACATGATGCCGAATTTCTAATTACTCACAAAAAACTACACGTATACGAAACAATCTCTTATCTTTGCTCAGTAAATCTTAGATGTTGCTAGCTGTTTCTCTGCCTGTCTAGTTGAATTTTTTTTTTTTCAGTCACAATGAATACACTCTAAAGATAACTGATATATAATATAAATTCATATCAATTGTATACCAACCCAAAACAATGCCTGAGACAACATGCAAAGTAAAGCTGCCATTGTACTACCGATACTCACATCAGAACACACAGAAAATCATCGTTACAATGCCAATCAATCTGAGATTTGCCCAGCCAGTGAAAATGAAAACACATGCCTCTGCAGGTGTGGCTTTCTTCCTCAACTGATCACATAAACAATGACTTCAACCAGGACAGAGATGGGTAA